TGTCAAGATTCCCATAAAGGTTAAAACTGTATGACAAGCAGAGCCTCTACAGCAGGGGTCCTCAAACTTGGCCCTTTTATGACTTGTGGACTTCAACTCCCAGAATTCCTCAGCCAGGCACGCGTGCCTGGCTGAGGAATTCTGGGAGTTGAAGTCCACAAGTCATAAAAGGGCCAAGTTTGAAGAGCCCTGCTCTACAGATAGAGATTTCTCCCCTGGTTGATTCTGTGTACAGGAAACAATGCTGCTATTTCTGTCCATCACAAGAAGGCAGAGGGTGAAGCTGAGCTAGGAATTCAATTCATGCTGTTTCTGGCCAAACATGTACAGGAGAAATAGTTTCCAGCCTATTGTACAGCCACGGTCACGGAGATACCTTATATACTCGTGTATAAGCCCATCCATGTTTAAGTTGACTCTCGGTTTTTTAACCAACATGCAGATAGTCCTCGACATACGACCTCAACTGAGCCCAAAATTTCCGTTGCTAAGCGAGACGGTTGTTAAGTGAATTTTGTCCCATTTTACGACCTTTCTTGCCACTGTTGTTAAGTGAATCGCTGCAGTTGTTAAGTTAGTAACACTGTTGTGAAGTTGAATCTGGCTTTCCCCATTGAGGTTGCTTGTCAGAAAGTCGCAAATGCGGATCATGTGACTCGCGACACTGCAACCGTCATAAATATGAATCAGTTGCCAAGCGTCCGAATTTTGATCATGTGACCGTCAGGAGGCTGCGATGGTCATAAGTGTGAAAAATGGTCATAAATAATTTTTTCCCGTGCTGCTGTAACACTAAATGAGCTGTTGTAACTCGAGAAGTACCTGTACTATGAAAAATGCATCCGTTTGGGATAAGCCGACCCTCAAAATGTTTGAATGTTTTAATTTTCACAATTGGCCTATCTGTGGGTAATGTATGGATTATCCAATTTTCACAGCAGCTTGATTAAAAATTCATTGGATTATCTATGGTTGGGCTTATATGTGAGTGTATAGAACAGGGGTTGGGAACCTTGGCTCTTTTATGACGCGTGGACTTCAACTCCCAGAATTCCTGAGCCAGCATGGCTCAGCTTGGAAACCTCTCCCTTTCCCCTCAGCATGGCTGGCTCAGGAATTCTGGGAGTTGAAGTCCACGAGTCATAAAAGAGCCAAGGTCGCCTACCCCTGGTATAGAATATATGGGTACTTTTTAAAAGTATTGCCGTATATATCTGTGTATAAGCTGAGCCCAATTTGGGAAGTGCATGTTGGCACTTAAAAATTCTTATTTTATTTTTGAGTCTATACGGTAAGCCCCTCTCTCTGGGGGTTAGAGCAAGGGAGATGAATTTGCACCCCTTTTCACCCCAACTCACTCAATCTTTTGGACCTTGAACTATGGTATCTTGCTTCTACCCTACTAACAACTGCAAGCACCATATTAAGTAGGGTATTTAGTTTACTTTTGGCTTCCCTGAGCCTGTCCAGGGACACTCACTGCAGTAAAGCAGAATGTGATTGAGTTAAGGTTGTGTTACTGCAACCCTTGTGGTTTATAAGCTTTTGGGCTTAGCAGTATGTCTGAACCAGCACAGCAGCAAACCTTGATTAACAAGTTATAGCAATTAACAAGTTAGACTTATATACCGCTTCATCTTGGTAGTGCAGTATACTCAGGCTTTCAATTACAATTCCCCTTAAGGATAGCCCTCAGTTAACAATGGCAGCTGGGGTCAGAATTGCTGTCGTTAAGTGATGCAGTCATAAGGCACAATGTCATGTGACTGTGCTGCTTAGCAACAGCAGTTTCAGAAGTCTGGTTGCCATGGTTAAGCAAGGGACGTGTTAAGTGAGGAGCTTACATGACTGCAACTTCTGACTTCCTGCTGGCTTCCCCAGTGACTTTCCTTGTGGGAAGCCAGCAGAGAACATGAGAAATCCTAATCATGTGACCCCAGGATGCTGCAACAGTTGGAAATCCAAGAATTGGTCATAAGTCTCCCTTGTTCAGGGTCATCTCAAGCTGAAACAGTTGCTGAATGTGTGGTCATAAGCTGAGGACTATATATTTTCCCTAACGCTCTCCATCCTAGCTCCAGATTAAGTTGAAATCTTCAAAAAAAAATTTTGTTTCTATCAAGTTATTTTTTTGTGTGGCTTCTCTGTTTCCTTCCCATTTTCTGACTGCCACAGGTGCCTTCCTGGCTACGTAGGAGACACGTGTCAGTTTGCAGACCCCTGCGCCCCTGTGCTTTGCCAGAACGGGGGCACCTGCTACTCCAGGGCTCTTCCTCCTCCGGCCTCCCCTGAGTATATGTGTGTCTGCCCTCCTGGTTTCACTGGGGAAAAATGCCAGGGCGTGGTTGGTGATCCCTGCTTCCCGTCACCCTGCCAACATGGAGGGACATGCCAGCGGATCTCCCAGAAAGAGCATCAATGCCAATGTCTATCAGGATGGACAGGTAAGGCAATCAACTGGGACCTTTGAAGTTGCCCCAGGTCATGTGTTGCGACGCAGGTAAACAAACTTAGATTGTCCTAATAAAGGAGAATATTTGTAGCTCAGGGTTGACACAAGGGATCCTTGGTGCTCTCTGAGCTTCTTGTGTTCTTGTAGACGTTTCATAACCCAAACTAGGTAACATCATCAATAAGGACTGAGGCTTGCTGTCAGTTTATATTCTAGTCAGAGGCTTTGCCCTGTCGATGTTGGTGGGGATGGTCTTAGAGCAGAGGTCCCCAACCTTTTGGGCACCAGGGACCGGTTACATGGAGAGAGGTTTTTCTGCAGACTGGAGGGGGCGTGGTTTTGTGTGCTGCCTGCATCCCGCGGATGGGGCTTTGCTTGTTTGTGCAGCCCGGTTGGGGACCCCTGTCTTAGAGGTTCTTTGGTTAGGCCAGGGGTAGGCAACCTTGGCTCTTTTATGACTCGTGGACTTCAACTCCCAGAATTCCTGAGACGGCATGGCTCAGCTTGGAAACCTCTCCCTTTCCCCTCAGCATGGCTGGCTCAGGAATTCTGGGAGTTGAAGTCCACGAGTCATAAAAGAGCCAAGGTTGCCTACCCCTGGGTTAGGCTGTTTAATGTTGGCTTCTGTGGCAGTTTCTTGATTGAGGTATTGTTGACTTCACCTTTGGCTTGATGTTAACCTTAATGTAAATCTACACTGATGTGGGTGCTGATTGCTGGTGAAGAGGTGCTTGGGTCTTTTTGTTCCCTTTTTGGGCTGGTTGATTGTCTCTTTTGCAAAGTCTATACATGTTGTTAATGTCTTTGTGTCTATTGATGGCTGATTTGTCAGGGTGCCAAACATCCCCATCAAAGAACCAGCACTGACAGGGCAAGCCACCAGTATATAAACTGATAGCAAAGGGCACTCCTTACTGTCTATGGCAGCGGTTCTCAACCTATGGGTCACGACCCCATTTGGGGTCGATCGACCATTTCACGGGGGTTGCCAAGCAAGGCTGTCCGCCATTTTTTTTGTCCGCCATTTTTCCCCCTCTTCCGGCAGGTGCCTTACCTTCCTTGGGCTGGGCCAGCTGGTGGTCGGCCTGCTCCGTCTCTGCCGCTTGCCAGCTACACCTCGGCCGGCGCAGGGGGCGGAACCACGCATGCGCGGCACTCCTGGGCAGGGAAAGTCCTCGACTTACGACTGGTTGGGTAGTCCTCGACTTACAACCGGTTTAGTCCTCGACTTACGACTGGTTTAGTCCTCGACTTACGACCGGTTGGGGGTTGCGGCATTAAAAAGGTTGAGAACCACTGGTCTATGGAGATTCTCAGTCATCCAGGTCACCGTTATCCCAAAGGTGCTTTTTCACGAGGCAACTGGACTTTCTTGTTTTCCTTTGAAGACATTTCACTTCTCATCCAAGAAGCTTCTTCAGCTCTGACTACATGGTGGGGAATGGAAGGATTTATGACCAGCTGTCTGCAAGGAGTATAAATCCTTCCATTCCCTGCCATCCAGTCAGAGCTGAAGAAGCTTCTTGGATGAGAAGTGAAACGTCTTCAAAGAAAAACAAGACAGTCCAGTTGCCTCGTGAAAAAAAACACCTTTGGGACACACTCCTCACTATCACTTACCTAGTTTGGGTACTGAAACATCTGCAAGAAAACAAGCAAGCACAGAGAGCGCCAAGGACCCTTCAGCTTAGATCAAGGGTCCCCAACCTCCAGTCCGTGGACCGGTACCGGGCCGCGGCATGCCAGCAACTGAGCTGCACAAAAAAGCCAAGCCCGATCTGCGGGATGCAGGCAGCACACAAAATCATGCACCCTCCAGTACGTGGAAAACCCTCTCTCCACGGAACTGGTCCCTGGTGCCCAAAAGGTCGGGGACCTCTGCCTTAGATCGTATTGCCATAATTGCCACGTTGACTTTTTTCACCAGACGCTTGCTCACCCTCCTAAGTTCTCCCAGAGTTTGTGGGAAGAGATTTCACTTTAAAGCAGTTGATTGATTTATTGCTCTGATTTCCAGGCCGCTCAATTCCAAAAAAGACACTATGTGTGAGTTGGGTGGCTATATAAATCTGTCTAATAAATAAAATAAAATCTGTCTATTAAAAAAAATACTCTGGATGGCTTTCCAAATTTAAAAACAGAACCCCTTCTTCCAACATTATTGGGAAAAACAACCAAGGAGAAAATCACAAGAAAATCACTAGAAAAATCACTAGAAAGAGTACAGAGAAGAGCAACAAAGATGATTAGGGAACTGGAGGCCAAAGCATATAAGGAACGGCTGCTGGAATTGGGTATGTCTAGTTTAACGAAGGACGAGGGGGGACATGATAGCAGTGTTCCAATATCTCAGGGGCTGCCACAAAGAAGAGGGAGTCAAGCTATTTTCCAAAGCGCCTGAAGGCAGGACAAGGAGCAACGGATGGAATCTGAGCAAGAGAGAAGCAACCTAGAACTAAGGAGAAACTTCCTGACAGTTAGAACAATTAACCAGTGGAACAACCTGCCTCCAGAAGCGGTGAATGCTCCAACACTGGAGGTTTTTAAGAAGAGACTGGACAGCCATTTGTCCAAAATGGTATAGGGTTTCCTGCCTGAGCAGGGGATTGGACTAGATGACCTCCAAGGTCCCTTCCAACTTTATTATTATTATTATTATTATTATTATTATTATTATTATTATTATTATTATTATTATTATTATTATTATTATTATTACTTCCACCCTAAAAGGGCCTGGCAGACCTCCTGATTGAAGCCCCAAGAAAACATTTAGTGATTTGCTTAACAACCATGGAGAAAAAAAAATCGTAAAACTGGGTGTAACTCATTTAACAACTGCCTGGCTTAGCAATGGAAATTCTGGTCTGAACTGTGGTTGTAAGTTGAGAACCGCCCGTAGTAAGAACGAAGGTCATCTCCTTCCTCCTGGGGACTTCCTAGAAGTCACTGGTTGTTAGAAGATGCTGGATGAACTTGACCTCTGATCTTCTCTTCTCTGATCTGCTTCCGCGTTGACTTTGATTTCTCTTCCAGGGAAGAACTGCCAGTTGATGGATTTCTGCCCTGCCAACCCTTGTGCCAACGGTGGGACGTGTGTCATCACCTACCCTGTCATTGTGTGCCAGTGCTGGCCAGGCTTTGAAGGGCACACCTGCCAACATGACATCAATGAATGCTTCACGTCCCCCAGCCCCTGCCTCAACAGTGGCAGCTGTATCAACAGCATCGGCTCCTTCCGCTGTTTGTGCCCATCCAACTTCTCTGGTCCTCTCTGCCAGTACCGACGGGGGCCTTGCTCCTCGGAGATCTGTCTCCATGGGGGCACCTGCCGTCACGTCGACGGAGGATACCACGGCTGCCTCTGCCTGCCAGGGAATTATGATTCATTATTATTAGTGTGGTTAATGAGTGTTTGTTGTTGGCTAAAAGGCATTGCAGCTCTACCCCAGGTCCCGAGAGTATTCGAAAAAATAGTTTTAAGATGCCCAAGGAAGGTGATGTCAATTGAGGCTTTTCCTCAACGATCAAGCGAGAGGATAAATGGGATTGTGAAGGGAGAGCAAGCCATCGTTTGGGATCTACACAGGAGAAAACTCTTCTCTATGTGCCCAGCAGTTGGGGCACTGGATGGGAAAAGTCCTGGGTGTCACCCACACCCCACTAGTTAACTGCCCACAGTATTTGGTAACAGGACTGTTCATAAACATTGGTGCATCCAAACTATTAATTCAGGTTGTAGACGGCAAGTTGGTGACAGTAAATTCTTCTTCTTCTTCTTCTTCTTCTTCTTCTTCTTCTTCTTCTTCTTCTTCTTCTTCTTCTTCTTCTTCTTCTTCTTCTTCTTCTTCTTCTTCTTCTTCTTCTNCTCCTCCTCCTCGTTATTGTTGTTGTTGTTGTTGTTGTTGTTGTTGTTGTTGTTGTTGTTGTTGTTCTTCTTCTTCTTCTTCTTCTTCTTCTTCTTCTTCTTCTTATTCTTATTATTATTATTATTATTATTTTTCTTCTTCTTCTTCTTCTTCTTCTTCTTATTATTATTATTATTATTTTTCTTCTTCTTCTTCTTCTCCTCCTCCTCCTCCTCCTCCTCCATTTTCTCCTTCTCTTCCTCCTCCTCCTCCTCCTCGTTGTCGTTGTTATTGTTGTTGTTGTTGTTGTTCTTCTCCTCCTCCTCCTCCTCCTCCTCCTCCTCCTCCTCCTCCTCCTCCTCCTCCATGTAAATGAAATCATGCTTCTTTCCCCCCGCCATTTTCCTCCCCAAATTTGCACCAGAAACGGAGTTGGGACTAATTTCTCTTCCACTGTACTCTAACTGTATAAGAGTTACAAGCCAATGCCAATAGTTGCAAAAATCCTGCCATGTTACCATTTCAAGATCAGAGTCTTGAAGAGATTTTTTTAAATGCAACAGGCAAATGGTGGCTTTGCGGTCAGGAAATGTCCCTTCTAATGGCCATTAGGCTGTGGTTTTTGGGGGGGGGGTGAGTTGCAAAAAAGTCACTACACGTGCCTGCCACTTCTCAGCATTTTGAGGTCAACAGCCATGCAGAGGATCCCAAGTCTTTTTCAGATTGTTGTGTGAGGATTTGAGGAACTGGAAACAAGTGTGATGCGGAAGTACCCTAAGAAGTGAGAGGCTGGAAGAGTTGTGTGGTCTCAAGTGGTTCCTCTAGAAGCCTCCCTTGTCATTGCTGATGACACTGTCTCGTTTGCTCCACAATGACTCTAAGTTTATTGCCTCCTGTTCTTCCAACAGGCTACACTGGTCAGTATTGCGAGGTGAATCCAGACGACTGCGCAGGACATCCGTGTCTCAACGGAGGCACCTGCCAGGATGGTATTGGGTCATACACCTGCCATTGCATCCAAGGCTGGACAGGTGAGAGTCAAGCAAGAAACAAAGAAGCAAATCTGCAAAGGTTCTTTGTCTATGCCAAATATATATTGAATTCTGGATTTATAGAAGAAGCATTTAAAAATACCCCAGCAAGACATTCGCCTTATTGCAGAAGAATCTTCCTAAGCCATTCTAATCTTTCTTTTTCTGGATCAAAGTTGCACTGTTTATTAACATAGTGCCATAACCATTTAAAATGGCCCAAAAATAGAACACCACAACTGCTCAGTCAATTAATTTGGTCAGTCAAGTACATGTAATGTATGGATCTTTCTCAGAGGTTGTTGGCTAGAAATAGCAAGGACTGGACTTGGAATATGGCGGACGTGAAGGAGAAGCACCTGTTCTTCTAAGCACGTAGCTCTCCGCCCTTCCAAAGGGAATGGCGGGAAGGAGGTTTGGCCACAGCAGGAAAGGAGAAATAGGTTTTATCATTCACAACTGATGCATGTGACCAGAATTGCCTGGCCTGTCTCAATAGATCACGAGTGACCTTTCCCATCTCATAAACCAGAGGGGTCTTCAAAGTTAACAACTTTAAAACCTGTGGACTTCAACTCCCAGAATTCCCCATGGCTGGCTGAGGAATTCTGGGAGTTGAAGTCCACAAGTCTTAAAGTCACCAGGTTTGGAGTCCTTTGTGTAAACTAAAGTATGGGTAGTCCTCAACTTACCTCCACTTGCTTAGCGACCATTTAAACTTCTGAGGGACTTACCTGGGAGGTATACCAGATTTAAAGTTCTGATGGTTCCCCGCCCCCCCCCCCCGCTGCCATGGTCATGTAACTGCAGTTTGGGCACTTATGGCCATTTGCAGTGTCCCATGGTCACATAACCACATTTTACGATGGCTTTGCCAAAAAGTAGCATTACTTCAGGGTTTTGCCAAAAGTGCACCCATGGCAAACCATTGGTTCAGTTAACTACTATGTCATTCAATTAATGACCATCATTTTAAGGTCTGTCACGAATTATGAGTTATGACCGTGATAGGCAGGCTCCATTATGGTGGTAACTGGAGAACTATCTGTATAACAGCCCTGGTGGCCCAGCGGTTAGAATGCAGTACTGCAGGCTACTTCTGGTGACTGCCGGCTGCCAGCAGTTTGGCAGTTCGATTCCCACCAGCACAAGGTTGACTCAGCCTTGCGTCCTTCCAAGGCTGATAAAATGAGCACCTAGATCAGTGGTTCTCAACCTGTGAGTCGGGACCCCATTTGGGGTCGATCGACCATTTCATGGGGGTCGCCAAGCAAGGCTGTCCGCCATTTTTTTTGTCCGCCATTTTTTTTGTCCACCATTTTTCCCCCTTTTCCGGTGGGTGCCTTACCTCCCTTGAGCTGGGCCAGCTGGTGGTCGGCCTGCTCCATCTCTGCCGCTTGCCAGCTACGCCTCGGCCGTTCCCGGGCAGGGAAAGTCCTCGACTTACGACCGGTTGGGTAGTCCTCGACTTACGACCGGTTTAGTCCTCGACTTACGACCGGTTGGGGTCGCGGCATTAAAAAGGTTGAGAACCACTGACCTAGATTCTTGGGGGGGGGGCGATATGCTGAACTTGTAAACTGCTTAGAGAGGGCTGTAAAGCACTGTAAAGCGGTATATAAGTCTAAGTGCTGTTGCTATTGCTGTAAACATTCTCTGACATCTCAAATAACAGCCTTGGGTGGAGCCTGGGGATATGGTCACAAAGCCTGCAGTGCTGGTGTTAATTCTGAAGGGCCCCGAAAGATGGAGACGAGGCGGCTTTGCTTATCCTCCATATCTCCTTCTCCAGGGCTTCTTTGCCACTTGCCTGATGCCTGCCTCAGCAATCCGTGCCATCCTGATGCCCACTGTGACACGGACCTCCAGACTGGCCATGCCATCTGCACATGCCATCTGGGTTATGCTGGAGCTCTGTGCTACGAAGACATTGACGAGTGCCGGATGGGTAAGATGGGCTGAGGGAATAAGGGTCAAGATTTAAGATTTAAGATTTAAGATTTAAGATTTAAGATTTAAGATTTAAGATTTAAGATTTAAGATTTAAGATTTAAGATTTAAGATTTAAGATTTAAGATTTAAGATTTAAGATTTAAGATTTAAGATTTAAGATTTAAGATTTAAGATTTAAGATGCCGGGTTGAATCTGGTCGGGCAGGATAAGATAAGTGAGATGAGATAAGATAATCTTTATTGTCACTTCGTTGTGTATTCAATAGCACACTTTAAAATGAAATTCCGATGCCTACTCATGAAAGAAAAAAAAACACCCACTAAGCAATGTCACCATCCCAAGGATAACAACAACAACAACATAATAACAGCAGCAGCACAGTCCAATATGTATCACAACCCATTGTGATTGTTCTTGGGGAGGAAAAAAAAAACCCCAATTCCCACAACTGAGCAATACAGGTAGTCCTCGTTTAGCCACCATCATTAGCATGAGCAACTTGGTCGTTAAGTAAAGCAGTCGCTCAGTGAAACCTCGATTGTGCTTACCATCTTACTTCAGCTTTCCTGTGCTTTACAGACCTGCAAAGGTCTTTGAATGCAAGGATCGGTTGCCAAGTGACCTTTTTCATCATTGTGAATGGGCACTAAACGAGGTCGTCACTAAACGAGGACTACCTGTTTCTGAATCGGATCAAGCGTCACCAAAACACCTGCACATTTCTGAATTGCTCTTCAGGCTGCTTCAGTAAAAAAAAAAACACAAACAAAACCGAGGCAGAGGTGCCGAGACAAATTTTGCAACGCACCACCGCCCTCTTGTGGTGGAATGTGATTCAAATGCTACCTCTTCCGGGGAAAATGTTTGGCAAACTTTTTCCTTGAAATAAAGTTGTCAGAATTGGAGAGATCCGGTGTTTTTCTCTCTGGATTCTTCCTCTCTCCTGCTCCAGGGAGCAACCCATGCGAACACAGAGGAAGCTGCTACAATACGCCCGGCTCGTTCACCTGCTCCTGCCTCAGGGGCTACACAGGCTCCAGGTGCGAATCTAACCTCAACGAGTGCCTCAGCCAGCCTTGTCAAAACGGGGCTTCCTGCTTGGACCTGCTGGACCGTTTCCAATGCCTCTGCCCATCCGGTAAGTCTTGGGTTAGGCAAAATACAGATAAATTTCATGGATTATTTATTTATTTATTTGAACAGATAATAAATAAATCGGAGCCGAGCAGCACTTTTTCTGAACTAATACTTGTATTTGAAGGCATTAAGCTTTTCTTAAAATGTTTAATTTCATTTAATACAGATAGTCCTCATTTAACAACTGGTTGCTTAGCAACCATTCACAGTTACAGTGGACCTCAAAAAAGGTACTTATGAGTTTTGATGTCTGCTCCCCCCCCCCCCATGCAGTCACACGATCATATTTTGGGCACTTGGCAACCTGCCCACAATTATGGCTGTTTGTGCTGTCCCACAGTCATTTGACCCCGATTTATGACTTTTTTTGCTGGAACCCAGGGTTTATTTCTGGTTTCTTGCAAAGAATGCCCATTGGGAACAATGGGTTCACTTAATGACTGTATGTTCGCTTAATGGCCACCCTGTTTTGCTTAACAGACGCTGTAAAATCGGGGTCAGTCATATGATGATCTGCTTAGCGACCAGCATGACATAGGACTGTAATTCCAGGCTCAATTATAGTTGTAAGTCCTCAACTTAAAACAGTTCATTTAGTGACTGTTCAGAGTTACAATATCACTGAAAAAAGTGACTTTTGACCGTTTTTCACACTTACGACCTTTGTACCATCCCCATGATCATGTGATCAAAATTCAAATGCTTGGCAGCTGGTTCATACTTATGACCGTTGCTGTGTCCCACAGGCATAGGATCCCCTTTTGCAACCTTTTGGCAAGCAAAGTCAATGGGGGAGGCCAGATTTACTTAACAACTTATCAACTGCAGTGATTCACTTAACAACAGTGGCAAGAAGGGTCGCAAAATGGGGCAAAAGTCACTTAACAAATTTCTCACTTAATAACAGAAATTTGGGGCTCAGTTGTGGTCCTAACTGTACTCAGTAAGCTTTTATTATACACCAATGGCCAAAATTGTGGAAACCTTTTGGGAAAAGTGTACAGTAGAAATCCCACCTTTGGTTAAGTTTCCACCCATTTTTCTTCCAATTTCTTTATAACTGTAGCCTTGTTCACTTAGTAATACTATTTTACATCGCTTTCTGGGCAACTAGTCAACTCTTTGCACCATTACTTTAATTTTATTACATTTTACAAGCTCACTAAATGAAAGAACACAAAAAAACCCAACCAACTTGATAGCCATCACATAACACACTGACAAATGTCCTCCTCTCAGCTTCAATACCTGACATCAATAACTGAACCCTACTGTGATCTGATTGGCTCATTGCCAAAACAAGATGACACCTGATTGGCTCTCTAAACACTCATGCTCATTGGCTACAATCAGATGAAGGAAAGCTACCTGATATCAACCTAAGCAAGTTGTGCTTCCTTTTTCTAGTTATTTGGCTATAACGTTTCATAGAATACAGTACAGATAATTGAACAAACTATGTTGCATTACATTCTTGATTAAATTATCTTTCCATTGATATATAATTTTATGGTACTACTCCCAAAAGAAAGTGGTGTTATTAGCCATCAAACCTCAAAAATACACTTTTCCCAAAAGGTTTCCACAATTCTGGCCACTACTGTAAAGCCTAAGTTGCAACACATGGAAGTTTATGACCTGGTTAGTTAGAAAAAGTGCTCCTGATTTTTTGCTAGACAATATGGCTCCCCTGTTACAGATTTAATTGATAGACATGCATGCTGCACAACAATTTGACAGATGCTTGTTTGGTCCTCCTTCTTCTTGGTTCCCTTAAGACAGAGGTCCCCAACCTTTTGGGCACCAGGGACTGGTTCCGTGGAGAGAGGTTTTTCCGCAGACCGGAGGGAGCGTGGTTTTGTGTGCTGCCTGCATCCCGTGGATGGGGCTTGGCTTGTTTGTGTGGACTGGCATGCCGTGGCCCAGGACTGGTCCACAGACCGGGGGTTGGGGACCCCTGCCTTAAGATCTTTCCTTTACACAGGGTTCAGTGGGCTGTTCTGCGAAGTTGAAGAGTGTCTCCAAGGCCGTTGCCTCAACGGGGGAACCTGTGTACTCCAGAGCTATGGCTTCGCCTGCCTGTGTCCTCCTGGTGAGTGAGAACGATGAAGAGAGATCCCAGAAATATGGTTCAAAGAGGACTGATTCCTCCATCTTCCCTATGGAGCATCCTGTTTAGGCCACCATCTTCCAGCTTTGTACCCAACCACATAGATCCAACCTGCATCCCCAGGGCCGTCTAGAGTCTCTGCTTTGGGGCTCTGTACCAATAAAGGAGACTAGCTGTAGCCAGTGGTGGGATTCAAATAGGTGAACAACCAGTTCTCTGTGTGGATGCTGCTTCCAGAAGTCCGTTCTGGGCCAGGGCAACAAAAAATTAGCTACCGGTTCTGCCGAACTGGTGCAAACCGGCTGAATCCCACCACTGGTTGTAGCTCAGAATTGAAGTGAGGGACCCTTGGGTGCTCTCTGAGATTGATGGGTTTTCTTGCAGATGTTTCATTGCCCAAAGTAGGGATCATCAGTACTAGTGGTATGAGCCATGGTGACGCAGTGATTAGAATGCAGTATTGCAGGCTAATTCTGCCCATAGACAGGAGTTTGATTCTAACCGGCTCAAGATTGACTCAGCTTTCCATCCTTCTGAGATCAGTAAAATGAGGACCCAGATTGTTGGGGGGGGGGGCGATATGCTGACTCTGTAAAACTGCCTGCAAATCCATTGCACTGATCCCCAAAGTAAATGTATATATATGAGAACTATGCAGTCAAAGAAAAGAGCAGGCAGTTCTTGAGTTACAACCATTCATTTAGTGACCATTCAAACCTACAATTGCTGTCAATGCTGCTAACATCGGATGTTTTCGCATTGACAACAGATGGAAATGTAGCCATTTTCTTCCTTTCGCTTTTAGAGTTAGATGATGCTGGGAAGGAGGGATGTGAATGAGAGTCCAGCAAGACATAACAACACTGAGCCTAGGGTGAGAATCAAGGTTGTTGAAATCAGAGCTGATAAAGAATTGGTGGGCTGGAGAGCTGGAGAGGAAGCCCGCACTTCACGCTAATTGGGGAATGTGATTTATGACTGTAAATTGGAGGAGGGAATTGTGCTTTAATACTATGTGCCCAGGGGAGAGGAATTCAGTTTTTGGCTTTGATTATGTAAGTGCCGATATTATGCTACTCGAATAAAAGATTCTGTAAGGTAAACAATACCTCAAGGTTCTTTTGAAGAGTTTCATCTGTTGGAACTATGACAACTGCATTGAAAAAAGTGATTTATAACTGTTTCTCACCCTTACGACTGTCGTGGCATTCCCGTGGTCACGTGAACAAAATTGGGGCCGTCTGAGCTTTCTGAATTGGTGCAGGATAAGCTCTGGAATAGATAAGGGTAAGGTAAAAGGCCGAAGAAGATTGATGGTGTCAAGACTTTGTCCCCAGGTTTCGAAGGACTTCGGTGTGAGAGAGATGCTGATTTCTGTCACGATGACCCTTGCCAGCATGGAACCTGTGTGAATGTCCCCGGCTCCTTCACCTGCGTTTGTGCTCCAGGATTCACAGGACCCCTCTGCAAGGAATTCAGTGACCCTTGTTGGGAGTTTCAGTGCCTTAATGGAGGCAGTTGCCGCAGGACAGAATCCGGGTAAGGATGGATCCGTCAGTTCTTCAAAGTGGACCAGACCACGAAACCAAAGTCCTGCATGTAAATATAAATTTACTTTTAGTAAAGTAAAATGAATATACTTTTATTATAATCCCCAAAGTGCTTTTTCCACAAGGCAACTGGACTTTCTTGTTTTTCTTTGAAGACGTTTCGCTTCTCATCCAAGAAGCTTCCTCAGCAGGGCAATGGGGAGTATGCTGGGAGACTGTATAACCTGTTAAACAAAAATAAATAAAACAAAACAAAATAAAATATGAAAAAATAAAATAATAAAATAAAACAAAACAAAAAAATACAATACAATATAACAGGGCTTTTCAACTAGTGGTACGGGTACCACCTGTGGTACATTGGCACCTGGCAGGTGGTACGTGACCATCCTAGAAAAATGGTAGTGGGGGAGGGGAATGAGCTGAACTGGTGGCAGCACCACACAAGCCTGAGCGAGAGATGGCTGGAGCTGCAGGGCTGTCAGGGCTCAGCAGAAGCGCCAGGATCAGTGCCGCTTTTCAGCCGGAAAGCAGCACTGATCCTGGCACTTCTGCTGAGCCCAGAAGAAGCGCCGATCAGCTGGAATGTTGCAGCACCTCCAGGGTCTTATGATTTACATTCAGATGCTTGGCAACTGATTCATATTTATGACGGTCACAGTGTCCCAGGGTCATGTGAAGTGACCAAAACTTGCTGCAACCACCCAGCAGACGGGGGGAATAAAAACCAAACCCACCCCACCCCCACTGCCAATCCTCAACAGAAATGCTCACAACAATAACCGCGGACAGGAGGAAGATTGCTGTCAGGCGGACAGGCAGATGTCTTGCTCGGCTGTGGCTTGGGGGGCACTTTTTTCAGGACCATTGTAACTTCAAACAGTCACTAAACAAACTGTTGTAAGTCTAGGACTACCTGTACTTTATCACCTTTTTCCTTCTTTTTGGTCATCAAGTTTTTGACACCTTGCTAGGCGACTGGTGGTACTCGGATGTTGCCATATCCTAAAAGTGGTACAATGGGTGAAAAGGTTGAAAAGTCCTGCAATATAAAATAAAATATAAAATATAAATTAAAAATAATAAAATAATAAAATAATAAAATAAAATAAAATAAAATAAAATAATAAAATAAAATAAAATAAAATAAAATAAAATAAAATAATAAAATAAAATAAAATAAAATAAAATAAAATAAAATAAAATAAAATAATAAAATAAAATAAAATAAAATAAAATAAAATAAAATAAAATAAAATAAAATAATAAAATAATAATAAAATATATAAATATAAACATATAAAAATATAAAAATAATATAAACATGTGAAAATAATATAAAAATATAATGTAATGCAATGTAGTATTGTAATAAAATATAATAAAATATAAAATAAAATAATAAAATAAAATAAAATAAAATAAAAATACAATATATCATATCATATCATATCATAAATATAATAAATATAATATACTATAATATAATTAATAAAATAAAATAACAATAAATAACAACAAAATATAAAAATAAATAATAAAATAAAATATAAAATGAAATAAAATATAAAATTAAATTAAATTAAAAATAATAATAAAATATAAAAACGAAACTAAGCCGAACAATTCCCTCTCTCTCCCCCCTCCCTTCCGCTTCTCTCCCAGGCCAATTTGTATATGTTCACCTGGATGGACCGGCCAGAAGTGCGACACAGAGGTGGATGCCTGCAATTCCAGCCCATGCCACCAGAGGGCTACTTGCTTGAGCCGCCAGGGAGCCTTCCAGTGCGTCTGTCCCAGCGGCTACGTAGGTAACTCGGTCTGAGCCTCAGTTCCTCCTTTGGGCAGCCCAGCAGCTCTCAAAACACCACTGCGCCCTTCCTCCCTGGATCACTGACTCTTCCCTCCCTCGCAGGGGCAGCGTGCGATGCAGAGGTGGACGAATGTTCTTCCAGCCCCTGTTTGAATTCTGGAACTTGCCTTAACAGCCCTGGTAGTTTTCACTGCCTCTGCCCCAGAGGCTATTCAGGACTCAAATGTCAGGTTACCCTGGACCTTTGCTCGGACTGTGAGTATCCAGCCGTACCAGCTCTTCACAATCTCTAAAAGATCCTCTTGGTTGATTCTCTCACACGTCCCTGTCCTGCAAAAGTACACGTTAAAAAATGCAAAAGTGGGAGCCCAAAGTTTGTTGGAGTGTTTCTTTAATGTTAGTGTTTTTCAAACCGGGCAACTTTTAAGCATGGTTGGATCTCAGCTCCATGCTGGCTGGGGAATTTACGGAAGTTTCTTTGGGCCTCTCTGCTCCTGTATCTTTAACCCCATCGTAACAGGAGGAAATAGAGTAGGTAAAACTTTCCTTATTATTGCATTAGTCACCCAGGAGAAAGGCTCAGATGCTGAAATTCCACATTTTGGGCAATTTTTCCACGCATTACAGAATGCTGCTGAACGAGCAGGTGGCATCTCAAAATCCTTCCTGAGCTAAATGCCTGTTATTTGGGTTTTCCAATCTGTTCCTTTCTACCACGTGCCACAGATCCCTGCAAGAATGGAGGCCAATGCAGAGTGAAGGAATCTGCACCCCACTGTTTCTGCCCTCCAGGATGGGGCGGCCCCCAATGCCAACAGAGGGCCAATCAGAACAGAGACAACTGCACGGACCGGACCGCAGAAGCTGGTTGCCAGGTGAGTTTAGAACACAAAGGTTAACAGAATAACAGAAATGGGAGAGATCCTGGAGGTCTTCTAGTCCAACCCCCTGCTCAAGCAGGAAACCCTATACCATTTCAGACAAATGGTTGCCCAGTCTCTTCTTAAAAACTTCCAGTGTTGAAGCATTCACAACTTTTGGAAGCAAGTTATTCCACTGGTTAATTGTTCTAACTGTCAGGAAATTTCTCCTCAGTTCTAGGTTGCTTCTCTCTTTGGTTAACTTCCACCCGTTGCTCCTTGTCCTGCCTTCAGGTGCTTTGGAGAATAGCTTGACTCCCTCTTCTTTGTGGCAACCCCTGAGATATTGGAACACTGTTATCATGTCCCCCCTCGTCCTTCTCTTCATTAAACTAGACATATCCAATTCCAGCAACCGTTCCTTATATGTTTTAGCCTCCAGTCCCCTAATCAACTTTGTTGCTCTTCTCGGCACTCTTTCTAGAGTCTCAACATTTTTTTTACATCGTGGTGACCAAAACTGGATGCAGTATTCCAAGCGTGGCCTTACCAAGGCATTGTAAAGTGGTATATAATCCCTTGGTAAGGCCACACTTGGAATACTGCTGGTTTGTCATCCCCCCCCCCACAAACCAAAGAAAATTCTTTACAAATTCATTTATTTTTTTAAAAATACAGCCAATCGTGCGGTGCTATGTACTATATAAAGAAATGTCAAACAATTACAAGAATGATATATAGCTAAAAGAAATCCATTTTCAGGGCTCTGGAGGCTGCATGAGAACGTGGTCCTCTCACACAAATTCTGGAGGGTCTGAAGGCTGTGCTGGACCACACCCCATTTTCATGTGGCCTCCCAAAATTGTGCAAAGCTGTTCTCACATCATTTTCAGAGGCTCTGGAGTGCACCCACACAAGAGTGCACCCCATTCTCCCACCGCCTCCACAACCTTCAAAAATTGCATGAGAACGTGCTTTTGAGAATCGCCGTTGGTGGTTGGTGATCGTCGGCACGTCCACCCAAAATGTAGTGTGTCACTTCTGACACACGTGTCATAGCTTCGAAATCACTGTGACAGATCCTCAAAACACTTTGAGAGCAAGCAACTAAATTTCATTTTTAACGTGTGCCGTTGTGCCCACAGTAAAAAATGACAATAAAGGTTATCTAATCTCAATTCCTGGCAAATAGATGGGGAAGAAATGGAGGTAGTGACAGATTTTATCTTCCTGGGCTCCAAGATCACCGCAGATGGGGACTGCAGCCAAGAAATTAATGCTCCCGGGGAGGAAAGCTATGGCAAATCTAGACAGCATACTAAAAAGCAGAGACATCACCCTGCCAACAAAAGTACGTATAGTCAAGGCCATGGTTTTCCCAGTTGCAATGTATGGCTGTGAAAGTTGGACCATAAGAAAGGCTGAGCGCCAAAGAATTGAGGCCTTTGAACTATGGTGCTGGAGAAGACTCCTGCGAGTCCCCTGGACTGCAAGGCGATCAAACCGGTCAGTCCTAGAGGAGATCAACCCTGACTGCTCTTTAGAAGGCCAGATCCTGAAGTTGAAACTCAAGTACTTTGGCCACCTAATGAGAAGGAAGGACTCACTGGAGAAGAGTTTAATGCTGGGAAAGATTGAGGGCAATAGAAGAAGGGGACGACAGAGAATGAGGTGGGTGAAGGGAGTCACTGAACCAGTAGGCGTGAGCTTAAATGGACTCCAGAAGTTGGTAGAGGACAGGAAGGCCTGGAGGAACGTTGTCCATGGGGTCGCGATGGGTCGGACACGACTTCGCAATTAACAACAACAACAATTTAATCTAAACTCTCAAGGAGGTGGGGGGGAATCCCCTTTCCTTTTAACAGGAACGAGCAGAGAAAATGCCATTGCATGGAAATCCATTCAAGGACCTTTGATGTTGATCTGCAAGGCCAGCTGCTGTTAAAAAATGCACAGGTTGGCGGTGTCACCTGCTCTCTTCCACCCAGGGAACATGTCCACTTCCTCATTTTTCAGTCCTCGTTTCTGACTTGATCACCTCGCCAGTCGTTTGTGTTGCTCAATGTGGCTTAAATTTTAGGTAAAACGTCTGAATCCTAAGATCAGTTCCACACAGGAACCGAACACCAAGGGAAAAGGGATCCCCGTGGCTGGACGTGTTCATGGAGAAACTGACAATATTTCTGTAAGTGATACTTGAATTGGACTTGTTTGCTTAAATAGTGTAGTCCCAGGCCCGGGGGTTCTCGGATTTTATTACTGCTACAGGCGGTCCTCGACTTATGACCGCAATTGAGCCTAAAATTTCTGTTGCTAAGTGAAACATTTGTTAAGTGAATTTTGCCCCATTTTACAACTTTTCTTGCCTCGCTTGTTAAGTGAATCACTGCAGTTGTTAAGTTAGCAACACGGCTGCTAAGTGAATCTGGCTTCCCCCATTGACTTTGCTTGTCAGAAGGTCGCAAAAGGGGATCGCGTGACCCCTCGGGGACACTGCAACGGTCATAAATATGAGTCAGTTGCCAAGCATCTGGATTTTGATCACGTGACCCTGGGGATGCTGCAGTGGTCGTAAGTGTGAAAAACGGTCACAAGTCACATTTTTTCAGTATGGGTGTAACTTTGAACCGTCACTAAGTTAACTGTTGTAAGTTGAAGACTACCTTTATAGCAGAAGGCACAGCTTGCTTATAGATAGTCCTTGGCTTACGACCATAATAACAATAATAATAAAGTTGGAGGGGACGTTGGAGGTCATCTAGTCCAACCCCAAGCTCAGGCAGGAAACCCTATACCATTTCAGACAAATGGTTGCCCAGTCTCTTCTTAAAAACCTCCAGTGTTGGAGCATTCACCGCTACTGGAGGCAGGTTGTTTCACTGGTTAATTGTTCTAACTGTCAGGAAGTTTCTCCTTAGTTCTAGGTTGCTTCTCTCCTTGATCAGTTTTCATCCGTTGCTCCTTGTCCTGCCCTCAGGCGCTTTGGAGAATAGCTTGACTCCCTCTTCTTTGTGGCAGCCCCTGAGATATTGGAACACTGCTATCATGTCCCCCCTCGTCCTTCTCTTCATTAAACTAGACATACCCAATTCCAGCAGCCTTTCCTTATATGTTTTAGCCTTCAGTCCCCTAATCATCTTTGTTGCTCTTCTCTGTACTCTTTCTAGAGTCTCAGCATCTTTTTTACATCCTGGTGACCAAAACTGGATGCAGTATTCCAAGTGTGGCCTTACCAAGGCATTGTAAAGTGGTATTAATACTTCACGTGATCTTGATTCTATCCCTCTGTTAAAGCAGCCTAGCACTGTGTTGGCTTTTTTGGCAGCTGCAGCACACTGCTGGCTCATATCTAAGTGATTGTCCACTAGGACTCCGAGATCCCTCTCACAGTTACTACTATTGAGCCAGGTATCCCCTATAGTACTATAGCTGTACATTTGGTTTTTTTCATAGATGAGCCTGGAATTGTACTTGTAAGTTATGGCAGTTGTTAAATGGGTCACCAGGTGAACGTGCCTGATTTTATGACCTTTTTTGCAGCGGTCGTTAAGTGAACATTGCTGTTATAAATCAAATCCATTTTCCCCAATGAGCACTTTTTGCCAGAAATCGGAGGTGAACCCTGATTTCTGACAAAAAAAAACCTGTAAATCACGATGACATCACCACAGCACAGTGCAAATGGCTGTAAAAGTGGGCTGGTTGCCAAGGGCCCAAAATGCGATCATGTGATCATCCAGGGGTGGCCATCAGAACTCAGAAACTGCATTGTAAATAGCTCCAGGGAATCCATCATAATTTCAGTCACTAAGCGATCAGTCGTAAGTCAGGGATTACACATACTCTGATCTAACCTCTTGTAGTGAAATCAGCAGCCAATTGAGGCACTCTTTGGAGCAGAGATGACCGTTGCTGTGCTGCGGTAAACTCTAAATCCCCCCCCCCCAAAAACGAAGTGAGAAGATCACGCTCCCATGTGACACCGCTGCTGCGCGAGCTGCATTGGTTACCAGTGGCCTTCCGGGTGCGCTTTAAGGTATTAGTTACCACCTTTAAAGCGCTCCATGGCATAGGACCCGGCTACCTCCGAGACCGCCTTCTGCCGCAGATTCCTTCCCACAGACCGGTACGCTCCCACAGAGTGGGTCTCCTCAGGGTGCCGTCGGNATGGCTCTTCCAGCAAGCGGACCTGACCTAGGGTGGATTTTACATTGGGTTTTAAATATTCGGAAGACGCAACATTAAAATTCGGTTTAATTCGGTTTTAAGGGGGGGATTGTATATATGTTCTGGTTTTAAATATGTTGTGCGCCGCCCTGAGTCCCTGTCGGGAGAAGGGCGGCATATAAATTAAATTAAATTAAATTAAATAAATAAGTAATACAGTAGTGACGAATCCGCTGACAACTCTTCTCCTTCCAGTGCCCGCCGACACAAAAGTGCCTAAATGGAGGAAGCTGTACCAAGACGACAGATGGTTTTCAATGCTTATGTCCGCCAGGAACAAAAGGTGAGGGGGAGAACTGTGTAAACCTGAGCAAAACACACACAGCCAGGAACAATCAGAACTGACTCCAACAATCAAAGTGGCAGAAAGCTTGGGGGGGGCAGGTCCCAGGTGGAACATCCCACACTGAGATAATAAATTCTATGGTCCTAAATGGCATATGATGCTGGGAAGGAGCCACTATGTCAGCCCAAGGAAAATGGGGTGTGCCCCCCAAAGTACGAAAGACTCAACCCGAGTAGGAAGCTTCCCAGAGGGGGATATATCACCAATAGTCGAACTGTTATGGTTACAAGTATTTTGTATCCATCCACAATGATTTATTGGGGTGATCAGCACAGTGTCCAAACTTGCAGCACAGTTGTGTGATCCAGCACGAAGAATGACTCTAATCCAGTGTCTCTCAGCCTCAGACGCTTTAAGCTGTGTGGACTTCAACTCCCAGAATTCCCCAGCTGGGGAAGTTTGGACCCACACTGCTTCTCTCAACCCAGCCTCTCATCATTTTAACTGAAAGGACCTTTTGCCTAAAGCAAAATGAAAGCTAGTGAGGTTGACTGTGTGGGCGAAGGACACAGTAGTCTGACCGTTCTTTTTGTCCTTCCAGGACCCAATTGTCACCTGGATCCCTGCTCTCTAGCCAGCCCCCCCTGCTACTATGGCGGGACCTGCATGGCTCAGGCTGAGGGGTTTTTGTGCATCTGCCCCCCTGGATATGTAGGAGAAAGGTGTCAGGGGGTGGTGGATGCCTGCTTCTCCCAGCCTTGCCACCGGCCCGGGTCCCGGAGCTGCCAGTCTGATGAACATGGTTTCCACTGTCTCTGCAACCCTGGATATTCAGGTAAGGTATCAGTACTATAGCAACAGGACTTAGACCTATATACCACTTCATAGTGCTTTACAGCCCTCTCTAAGCAGTTTACAGTGTCAGATTATTGTCCCTCAAGAATCTGAGTCCTCATTTTATGGATTTTATGGATCTTGGAAGGATGAAAGGCTGAGTCAGCTTTAAGCTGGTCAGAATCGAACTGCTGGCAAGTCAGCAGAATTAGCCTGCAATATGGCATTCTAACCACTGCACCACTATGGCTCTTAAAAGTGAGAGTGCTCAGTAGCTGGCTCACATTTATGACCATTACATGACTGCATTTTACAATAGTTTTGCCAAAAGTGGCATTTAGCACTTAGCACTTATATGCTGCTTCAAAGTTTTTTAATAGCCCTCTCTAAGCGATGTACAGAGTCAATGTCAATGCTGCTAATATCGGATGTTCTTGCTTTGACAATATATAAAGATGCAGCCATTTTCTCTTTAACCTGTGTGTTACTTTTAGAGTTAGAATTAGATGATGCTGGGGGGGGGGGAAGAATGTGTATGGGGATTAGTTAGACACAACAACATCGCAGTAGAGTATTCTTCAAGGTTGTTTGAAATAAGAGATGATAAGAAATGGCGGGTTAAAGAAATGGAGGGAAGGTTTGTATTTCAAACTAATTGGAGAATGTGATTTATGACTGATAATTGGAGGAGGGAATTGTGCTTTGATACTATGTGTTTAGGGGAGGGGAATTCAGATTTTGGCTTCGACCATGTACGTGCCGATGCCATGCTACTTGAATAAAGATTCTTTAAGGTAAACAATGCCTCAAAGTTCTTTGAAGAGTATCATCTGTCGGAACCATGACAGTCAACACATCGCCCCCCCCCAACAATCTGGGTCCTCATTTTATCAACTTTGGAAGGATGGAAGGCTGATTCCACCTTGAACCGATCAGAATCGAACTGCTGGCAATTGGCAGAGTCAGCCTGCAATACTGCATTCTAACCACTGCACCAACACGGCTCCAGCCTTTTGGCAAAACTGGCCCATACCGAACAATGATGAGCACTTGATGACTGCGGTGCTCCCTTGAAGAAAGTGGCATCTGCTTGATGACTGTGGTGTTTGCTTGACAACTGCCACAAAAAAGTGATAAAATCAAGTCAGTCAACATAGGTGACCTGCTTTACGACTGTCACAACTTGTTTCCACGATAGGCAGGTTCCACCATAATTGTAAGTCAAGGTTTACCTATACTTTTTCACCCAAAATAATATCGATTCCCACAGTAACTGTGTATGTCAAATTCCAGCTGTTCTTGTTGTATATTGTCAAAGCAGTAAGTTAGTACAAGTAATCTTTGACTTGTAATCATTCGTTTAGTGATCCTTAAAAGTTG